CCATCTGAGCGCAAAAAATGATTCTTTTGGTACCGTAACAATAATTTGCGATGTTAACCAACGTATTCTATTCATATTTAATATTAATAGTTTTCATCCACATGATTCTCTCTTTATTTAAATGAAAAATTTTGAAAAGCTTTCCCTCTCGAGTTTGTATAACTAATCAATTCATCAATACACATGAAACAATGAGAAGTATTTCGAACCATATTTCAACTTTTCTGAATCCTTGATGGTGGATAAGATAATGGCCGTAATTACTCCAAGAGAATCATTTTCTTAGATTGCCATTGTTGCTTTATTTTTTGTTATACTTCACGGATGTCCATTCCTAGTTCTGGTTAATTCCAGTTCTTGGAATTGAAGGTGGGTATTGGCATGTTTTCTTTTACACAACGCGTATACCCAATCAACACATTTCATCGTCTTATTTCGACATTTCCATATTTGAATAAATATCGATTTCTAATAAATCATATACAAGCCAATTTTTCCTGTTTTTCTTTCATTCAATAGTTCAACTGTTTATATTTTAATACAATATTGACTTATTTTACATAAAAAATGAACTAATATAATCACTTTCTTTTACTGAAGGAAAATATTCTTGAAAAGATTTCGAGGATCTTGAGTATAAGACTGCTACGAAAAACATTGTTAGATTTTTAACAAAAATCACATTTATTTATTCAAGCTTTCCAACAGGTAACACCTGTCATCGTCAGGAATAACAATGAAAATGAAAAAGAAAAAAAACTCTATATTTATATTTATATATTTTAATGAGATAACAAATACGTTGATTGATAGATAAGGGTGGATGTGGGTTTGTTGTTGAAGAATAGAACAACACTCACACACACATCCTTCTGTAATTCTCTGGAACTATCTTGTGAGATGGGAGGTTGCAAAGGAGGCACACGTCAGCATCCACAGTCACATACAAGCTCCCTGATAGCACACAACCTAGAGTGGAGCCACGAGTTTCTGGCTCGTTTTAATTATAATACCTTATGAGGAGAACTATTTTTTTCACACCATGTTGTATGAGGGTGTGGGTGTGAGTTGTAGATGATGATGCGAAATCAACACCCACTCACACCCACACTCACATCAGCACAGGCACATCCATACCCCACATCCACCCCCCCCCCCCCCCCCCCCCCCCCCCCCCCCCGCATTATCTCTACGGCTGAAAGCATGTGAGTGGGGGTGAAGATGTAGGGAAGTCCTGCGCTCGCTCACTTCACACCCACATATTCACCTAAATCCACAACCATCGAAACCCACATCCATACACTACAATCACACGCTGAACGAAAAATTGATTCTGAGTTTAATTTGAAAAATATGCATGTAAAAGGTTGAATTTAATGCTAAGAACTGATAATTGATTAATTTTCATCAATTGGTTGTGCCTCAAACAGATAAAAATTAGGAATGCGTTGATTCTTCTCCTTATTGTTTTTCAGTGATTGCCTTTAAGAAAAAGCTTCCAAACCCAATTATAATGCACTCGTGTCGACAAATATCAATGTATATTTTTTCTGATCGTGGGGACATGAAACAGAAAGGAAGGTAAAAAGAAAGAAAAAATAATGAGAGAACGAAATTCACACGATCATTTATGCATCACGAAAAAAATATCTCTTTCTAATGAAGATTGAATGCCTCATTGATTCAAGCAAATAAATGTGAATGGAAAAAAACAAGTAATTTCGTAAGCAATAAAAATGCGTAGTAAAGTCGGTTGCGAGCATACCATCAAAACTCGTTTACTTAAATATCACTTAGGAAGTAAGTATATTCAGTTCCGAGCGTTATTAAACTACAGTCCTATCAACTAAAAGTAGAACTTGTATTGTAATATTGTTTTGAAAATTTTGGTATATGATGTTATTCAGTCTTCATTTGATAGACATTGAATCTATATATGCTTGATGTATGATTGTGTAAGACAGCTCATCTACAGCTTATACTATTCATATCGTTTCATTGACGAGGATTTGGGTGTGAGCGTGCGGCTTAGAATGAAATGAGCACTATCATCCACGCAAACCTCACACCCACACCGATGCCTACATCCACACTCATACCCGCACCCACATCCACACCCTACTCACACCCACCCACATCCACATCCCACCCACACCACCACTCCACAACCACATCCTCCACACCACGCACCCACACCCACACCCACCCTCAAGTTTCCGGTGTATAAACAACGAAAAAATTGATGAAAATAAGATTTGTTTCACATTTCTTCACACGTGTATTACCTGTTTTTGTTCTATGTTACTTATCAATCAATTTTTACCTCTTCATACTTGCTAGTCTATTTTAATCTTTTATCACTTGTTTATCGATTTTGATGATAGGTACCAAAGACCAGCGCTTTCATCAAAGAAAGAAAAGCGAGCTTGTAAATTCCTTTGAATTTTATGGGGTACTTCCGCATTCATTTAATTTTTTTAACCATTTTTACTTGATATGCATATGAATGCGATCACATCACTATTTAACAGCTATGCGGACGTGAGTGTGGGTAAAGATGTGTGGAAACTCTTTGCTCATCCATTTCACACCCATACCCACACCAACTCCCTGCTATGATACTCAGGGTAGTTTAAGAACAAAATATTAGATTGGAACATAAGTTCCGCACGTTTTTTTTGTTTTTTAGGCAAATTCGAGGCTTTATATCTCGTGATCGGAAAGAGTTAGAAATCTGAAATTTTTCATGTAGATTGATCTTTATAAGTACTATCTACATTAAAAGTTTCAGACCTCTAACCCCTTCCAATCACGAGATATAAAGCCTCAAATTTGCCTCAAAAACAAAAAAAAAGCGTGCAAAATTATGTTCCAATCTAATAGAAGGCTTGTCATCGCTGAGCTAACACCTTGGCCATTATATAGTCTTGATATCTATTTACTTTTAACTTATCATAGATACACCAAACTAATAGCAAAAATCCACTCTAATGATTGGTCGACCTCGACTGTTTGCGCGAAGTCGTCTGATGAATCAGAGCTTCCAACAATCAACATCAATAAACTTCCATATCATCTTGTGTAAAGATCTCTCCAATCATCTACCGTTACACGAAGATCTCGAACATTCTCTGAATCATCGTATTCACCAAGCAGTCAACATGAATGAGTGTCTCAGTCTATTAACTAAGTATACTATCGATAACACTCCAATATTCCTCATTATTCCTTCTCATCTTCTGGACTTCGCTTGTCATATTTCTTACGAACTGGTACCACAATTACGATACATTTATTCATTCAATGATACTGCAGACAAACGACAGTCATGGTGGGTTAATCGACGAGTTCGTCATGTCTCTACTGATGTCGAACAAATCAGCAAGACAATCAATCGCGATATTGAAGCGATGAAAAAATGTCACTCAGAGTTGCGTCAATATCTAACAGTAGAGAATGCGGAATTTATCTGGTATCGATTCTTCTTCAGTATTCTCGATCGTTTGCAACACTCTGATATTGCCCGACAAGAGATGGTCGCTCAAGCTCGCCGTACCTTTGCATTTAATCATTCGGAACTACACTCCATAGATGAGTTTGAGCGCACATACAATTCTGATCAAGCCATCCGTTGGTATACAAAATCCTGCTTCTTCTACAGGCTCCTCAACGGTGCGTTATACAGCAATGATATTAACAAAATTTTTCCACTACGCATTGGCATACGAGATCTTGACTGGAGCCTTGAAGACCTCTGTTTGAAACAAGTCAGGAATTCACGTAAGAAGCGTGCCCGAAGAACTCGAGTGAAGTCATCAGTCCACAAAATGTTTGAAAAGAACACCGAAACGAATTATTTCCTTTCGATGAAAAAGTTGTTCACTAGGACAAGCGAACACCTTTGGAAAAACTTTCGTGCCTATCTGAATCATGATGAACGATGTATGCCTGAAAATATTACTCTATATCGAGGAGAAGCCATGAATATCGATCTTCTATGTTGGCTTCAAGATAATATAGGCAATATTATAAGCATCTCCGCATTTCTATCTACAAGTACCGACCAATGGATCGCCAAAAAGTTTGTTGCATCTGGAAATGGATCCAATTTTTCGTCAACCCAAGGGGTTCTATTCAACATATCCATCGCACGAAGCCATATGAAGGGTATCGTCGTCTCAATAGAACATATGAGTGTGTTTTCTGATGAATGCGAATGGTTATTTTCTTTCGGATCTATGTTCCGCATTGATCGAATATATCTGATCTCTGATCATTGGCAGATTGATTTAACGGCAGTTGACGATGAAGATTCACAAGTCCATGATTTACTTCGTCCATGGAAAAAAATTTTGGATGAAAGCATTTTTTTTTCTAAACGTTACAAACAACTCTTTATTCGTGACCTCACTTTAGAAAATGACTCTTTTCTTTCATTTCAATTACTTATTGACATGATGTTACGCCTTGAGCAGACGGAATTCGCTCGAGCTGAAATGATTGAAACGTGTCGTCAAAATTATGTTGATAGTTCGACAGACTTGAAAAGAATCGAGGAGTTCGAGCACACTTATCGTCATGAGGATGCTCTTCGGTGGTATACAGCCGACTGTTTTCTCTATCGTCTTCTCAATGAATCACTTCGAAAAGAAGATATTGACAGTATTTTTAAACTGCGTTATTTTATTTATGACTTACATAATCAATTAGCTCAACTTCAAATTTCTTACATTCAATCATTGCCGTCGGATCAGCCGATATTAACGCTTTATCGTGGACAACGTATAAAGACTACTCAATTAGATCAACTCGCTGCGAATGTTAACAATTTAATATCAATGAATAGTTTTCTATCGACTACAAGTGACCGTACGGCTGCCCTGTTTTTCTCCGGTCATGAAACACTCAATTCTATTCATTCAAGATCAAAATTCCAAAGAACTAAAAATATATTGAAATTCCTTTGGAAGAAAGTGAAACATCATTCTAGATCCGGTAGAATGAACATCAGCAATGGTTGTCTTCCATTTGAGAAGATGCCTAGTACATTTTGTTTTCCAGCAACAGAAGTGGCTGTTCTCTATCAAATTTTTGTTGATACAGCTAGTTTCCATTCGATTCCATTCGCAAAAGTTGCTTATCAAAGCATATTTCAAGATGAAGATGAAGTACTATTCTCAATGGCACCAGTCTTTCGTGTTGATGCTGTGAAACAAGATGGTACATTGTGGATTGTTGATTTAACACTAACGAACAAAGAAGATAAACAATGGAATTTGCTAACTGCACATTTGAATAGATAGTCCATGTCAAATTGAATCGGAAAGACAAATCATTCTCCTTGTACATTCCCAGTTTTCGTTCATGTGGAGTGTCGGTGTGTGTGTGTTGGAAAACATCAAAACAAACATACCCACACCTACAACTCATCCTTAATTTTGATGATTGGACACATGTATGTACACATAATTCATATTTATATGGTTCTTCATCTAAGAAATAAATTAATAATAATAAAAATTTCTAAAAGAAAATCTGTAATTTTTATCTCTATCTTTTTGTCAATGAACAGTCTATTTCGGACAATTATTGAAAACTTTTCATGAAACCCACATGTATCATTTCGTTGGTCACGTTATATAAATCGTTAAGAATTAAGGCAAGATATATGATCTCTATTTTAAGTTACTTGATTTGTTGCTCTTAACTGGCAAAAACTATTTCTTTCAGGTGATGAGTGAAAATGATCAATCATATTTTATTCACCGATATTATTATCACTTGTTATTGTTAATATCAATATGATTGTAAAACACGAGGGTGTACTTGATAATGATGAAGTTGAAAATGTTGAATGTAAATCATCACAACAATCGCTACCATTTATGGGATCTGAATAAAAAATATATATATATTTATTAACCCAATGAGTACGGGCGACGCGAATTCGCGTCCTGACATTGTGGGACCTGAATAACTTGAAAAAACACGATCTCTCCATTATACAATGATATGAATTGCATGAGTATTTGCGTTTAGAATATTTGCGCAATTAAGATTACTCACATCTAGTGATGATTATTGGTTGTCCCTTAATATCTCTGGCAATCAACACCTGATTTGATGAGTTAGAACATGAGCCAATTTGACAACATTTCTCGAGAAAGAGCCATCGCTCCCAAAAGAGTGTTTCATAGTACGAAAACCGTTCAAGAGCACCATCTATAGGAAAGATTTTGATTAGTTGATCCCCTTTGATAAATAATATGAAGTGCATTTTTCGACACAAAAGGACACGAAGGACAAAAATCGACCATCTGTGAGGGTGTGCGTATGGGATGTGGATGTGGGTGTGGGTGTGGGCGTAAAGAAAGAATAGAACAACACTCATACTCACACCCGCACCCACACCCACACCCACACCACACTCACACCCACACCCACACCCCACACATCCACACCCACCCTCAATTTTTTCCGATGTTGAAATATTGGCTGACTCAACAATGAGTGTGTGAAGTTGACTAAAACGACCATCCAGTAGACACATATATGTATCAAAAAAATCAATCTTAATATTCAATAATAAAAAGAGATGGAGAACAAAAATTGATCGGTGAATACAATGGTAACATATGTATTTCATTGTTAAATGATGTTTCTGATTCTGATCAGTATCAATTGTAATCAGAAGTTTGGTAATTTGATTTTTAAAAAGACCAGATGAAAGATTTACATCTAAGCATAGAAATAGTATTATTAACAAGCAATAGTCATGTTAATTTTAATCAATCATTTATTTATTTTCAACTATTACTATTGAATTTAGAGATTTTCTTATCAGTGAAAAGACTTTTAATTGTTTCTTCTTTGGTATTGAATAGATCGAGTCCATGTAAATTAGGATAATCAGTAGCACATAGAATTCGTTTCATAGATGATTATTCAACATCAAGCCATTGGATTTTTTCACGAACTGCAAATAAAATTTGTAAACAAAATCGATCAAATATAATATCAAGGGAATATATATTGAGAAATTTCTTCGAAGACCTTTTCAAGAAATTCAAACGATTTGTAAAAATTGGATCTAGTAGAATTGAATTCAACCGTTCATTGACACCAAATAAAGAATAAAGAACTTCAACATTGTGCATTTGTTTGAAAATAAATATAAGAAGTTCATCAGGTAAATCTTTTAATTGAGCGTATGACTGATTCATTTTTATGTGTAATAATTCTATCGACTCTCACTTTCTCAAGAGTCAATATATATAAATATATGAATGCTTATTTGTATTTTTCAATAGTCAAAATTGTCAATAACTGAAAAATGTTGTTATTTCTCTTTTTTTCTTCTTTTCTACTAATGAACTTTCTTTTGATTTTTTTTTCTCCATATGTTTTCTAATATTTGGAAGTAGAAGAAAATATTTTATGTAAGAGAAAATGGACATTTGATAAAATAACTCACTTTCTTTGTATGAACGTTCCCATTTTTCTCGTGAATGTATTATTTTAAGAATAAATATTTTGATGTATTACAAATGTTTAATAAAGAGAAGTGTCTAATATTTCATTACCAAAATTCTATTTGAATGACTTAGATTTCTTTTGGATTCTAGAAGTTGTATATAGATCAAATTTGACATGAGATTTTATCAATAAACGTTTGATTGCATTTAATTGGTTAACTTTTATGAATGAACTTTATAAAATCACAGCTAAAAATATGAAGTAGAAGATTTGAACAAGATTTTTATACGTTTGCAAATAAACTACGATTTGGTATTGGAGATGTTCAAAAGATTGATTTCAATGAACTTTCGACAATTGAAACCGAAATCATATAAAATAACAACATCAAATTTGTTTGAACTATTTCAATTACGGTTTCCTTATGTTCCAGTAACGGATGCAACATATCGATAAACATGATACGAAACAACTTTTAGTTATCCATTCATTTTCGTTATTCGTTCACTTGTCCTGAAAACAAACAGATTTTTTAAAATAAAATATTGTCTTTTCTTTACCTTTCTGTTTGAAATTACAGAAAATATAATAGTTGATATATATTCTGATGGAGAAATGAACTTAGTTTCTGTTGTCATTTATGTTTTATAAGAAAAGAAGAGCGAAACGGAATCTAAATCAATGACGATAAATTCTCTTAGATAGAATTGAAATATGGTTTGATCGACAATGAGATTTTATTTCATAAAAGACAAATGACTTAGTTCTTTCAAATATATTGTATAATAGATCAATCTCAAGTTTTTGAAGAATATTAAACACTCTTTGTGTTATATTATGTCATTCAAAATGACAAAAGCAGAAGAATACATCATTATTGACTTTTGTTTTTTTTTTACATTTATTTAAGTCCAATAGCTGAGCATTTTAATAACATATGTCTGATAATGGATTGTATTTTATTTCATGTTAGATGACCTGTACAGTAGAATTACTCATCAAAACATCTTGAACTTTCTGAGAGCATCGATAAGTGTTGTTCATATCGTGTATAATGAAATTTTTATCATACCAGAGTGAATGAGGTTAATAACTATAATCAGGAGAAATCGAATCAATCATTTACTCATATTCTGAATAAAGATCTAAATCGTAATCCATGAATATAGATTATAGAATGTGTGAAAAGATTTACTCTGTATGTTATTATACAAAAGCCATCGTTTTGATCGTTTTTTGTCAAAACTTTTGATTGATATTCTATGCTGAAAACGAGTAAACTCAGCATTCTTTGAGCTATGTGAACTGAGATTGTCAAAAGGATGTCTAATACGGTTGAGAACTCTTTTTTTGCACCAAAATACGGAGATGGAGATTAACAAATCGATTCAATAAAGCCAGATGTATATATTTTTCGTCTGAACATGTCCTTAGTCTAGTTATATGATGAAGTTTTTCTTTCTTCATCAAAACCTAGTAGGTTCATTGCAAAGATTTCTTAATCGACAAACGTGATTGTAGAATCTTTTCGTAACTATTGAACAACTCATTTCAGAAAATACTCAAATAGTACAAGAATCATTTCACACCTTATATATTGGTTATGATGGTCTTGAAACAAAGAATACAAGTCAATCTAAACATCATATAAAGATATGTTATTTATTTGTTATTATCATTATATTCTTTTGATGAGTTTTATTATCTGGTTTACATATCACATGTAGTCAAGAGAGAAAAAAAAGCTTTGCCTTTTTCCTATGTTGAACAACAATAAGAAGGTAAGAGATAATCTTTTCTTGTTGTTTTTTTCGTACAAATTGATAACACACAAAAGAAAAATAGGGTATGGGTGTGGGTGTGTGGGTGGCTGTTCTTTTCGCTCACGCGCACGCGCACACACCCCACCCACATCCACACCCTCTACAGAGTTCTCTAAAAATCATATTTTGATAATATATATATAAGGACAGAAAATAACCTATTGATGTCAAAGTATAGAGTGAACACCAACTGAGAGATATGATAGGAGATAATTTAGTCAATACCATTGGTAGTTTCATGTCCGAGAATATCAATTTGCAACTTAAATCATACTGTTTGATCGATAACTGGTCATATAATCATTAATTTACATAACAAAGACACACAGTCTAAAATCATAGCAGATTTTTCTATCACAGTATTGAAACATCGACATTTATTCTCCCAGGAAATTTACGGATATACAAACATACTGCTATCTAACATTTAATTACCAACTTGACAAGCTCATTATGCAAGATTCTGTAATACATCGAGGAACTAACTGTCGAAAAATGCTGATTTGATCAAAAGGTAGTTAAAGTTGAATATATTTATTAGACGAAATAAAGAAGTGACATAAAATCGCTTAAATAAAAATAGTATGAACAATGTGCATTGACTATTTCTACTGGTGCAATATTACACAATTGAGAGTGTTTTAGAGATGAATATTTGAAAAAAAAAACTTCTAAATAATTTTCTGAAAAGAATAAAAAGGCAGCAAACATCGCTTGATTATAGAAAATAAAAAAAGAACAAATCAATGATTGAAAAAGATATTACGAGATTATAAACTGAATAAAGAATTTCTTTTTTTTTTGAAAGCATTTGAACTAGTCTTTGATAAAGGCAGAACATCTGTTTCAAGTCTTTCTACAAATGATTGAATCACTCGATCAGATAGAAGAAATCTAAGAGTTCGATAACTACTCAAAACGTTAAATTCGAAGTCTTTTTTGTAGCTGTTGTTAGATTTGTGTTCATCACCGTCACAGGAAGTACCACTTTGATAGGCTTGAAC